TTCACATTACCTGGGACAAAGTTGCATAGCTAGAGGCAGAATCTTTAATCTTTGAGGAAATGAATAATTGCCAAAAACAATGAAGCAAAGCTGCTATTGTCCTTAGAGTTTTAAAAGTACCCCAGTGTTTAGGACTTTCGGTTGACGTAGTTATGCAAAAGTATACTGGCTCTGCTTGGGGGAGAACTTGACTATAGGAAAAAGGAGTGTGGCTTGCTTGCAGTTTGAAATAACCTTGTGGTTAATAGCATGATAAGGGTCCTGCATCTTTGTGCCAAGAATTTTGATCTAGACTCCAAAGACCTGAATTTATATCATGTCCTCAGTCACTGCCACACTTGTGCAATTTGCCTTTTACATTGTATTTTACTATTTCAAATTTCATTTCTCATCTTTAAAGATGATGTGGTTTTACACATTTTGAGTTTTGTATTTTAAAGGTAAGTTTCCAATATGTTGGAATCCCAAGGCAGTGTTTATGTCAGTACAGCTTGAAACAGTGGAGGTGATTGTCCAATGGCCCTGTGGAAAGCAATTTGGGAAGTAATTTTTCCTGTTCCTTTTGGTGTCTAAAACAATCTTAGTTCGAATCCAGATTCTTGCCCTTCCTTGATTACAGTTTTTCTTTTGACCTGATATATGGGAATAGGTTTCTAAGACCCTGTTCTGTTCATTTCCACCACTTTCCTTCAAAAGCCATAACTTCATGTTCCTTGGTCCCTGTCACTCTGAATGTGAGGTGTGACTGTAGTTCTGAATTCCTCCAGTGGTACTGGGTGGGTGGGTCAGTAGAAAGCAGCTGCTGCTTCTGCTTCTTAAAAGAAAATGAACAGCCTGGCAGCTGCTTCCCTGGGCCCTAGGAGTTGCTCTGGGCATCCATCCCTGCGGTGCCCAGAGTTCCTGGTGCTCACATTAAACCCAGCCTCAAAGGGAAAAAAGTGGGATTTGAGCAGAAACTGGATGTTGGTGTGGCCTGAATCTTCCCCCCAGATGCAGACTGTCCTGCCTAGAGCTGCACTCGCTGTGCTATCCCAGGAGCTGGCTGGGTTCTGAATGGCTTAGGCCAGTGCCCAGGTCCTAAAGGACTTAATGAGGATGTAGATGGGTTGCACCGGGGATGGTGGCATTGACTGCTTACAGCTCTATTTTCAATTCTTTATCCTTGCCAGACATAGCCTCAGCTAATGGGCTGCGACCTCCTGTGATTAAGGCTGGTTCTAAGCAGAAATCAGAGTTTGCTTATTTCCTGAACAAGAGAGGGTGACTTTCCCTTGAGGATTAAGACACCTGCCAGTTGTTGACTTCGGTTGGGGGAACCGTGTTCCTCCATCAAGGTGCTTCCTCACCTTTTCTATGACTGATTTTGTCTGACTTACAGCTCTACCTGCCTTCCCCATCACTGTCTTCCTGTAAGTGTGGTCCCAGGGAATGGGGTGCGGCTAGAGCAGGGGCACCCCCCACTGATGGGTGTCTGCTCTTCCCCCTCTGGCTGCCTGTGGCCTGAGGCCCCAGAGCACCCCGCCTCCTCCGTCTGAGCTGGGACAGATTCCGAAGCGGGGCTCATTGTGCCAACTGTCCAGGGACCTGGGAGGAAGGATAGTGCTGGGAACACGAGGCAGTGTGACAGCTAACATTATTCTCCAGAGGTACATTGCTCTTATTTTGTCAAGTTCCCTTTTCCTATGTGTTGTCCCCTCCCCCCCCCCAATCTTCCAGCTGCTTCCATCCTTCTCTGTGGTCAGCTTTCAGACGCAGTAGCCACCCCCAAAGAATGCGGGGGAACTTCTTTAAGAGCTTGGCATTCGTAGCATCCGGGAAATTTGGTCGCTACAGCCCTATAACTAGCCAGCCGACTGGAGTGAAGGGGTTCCTGCGTGGTAGAGGCCCGCCCTTTGAGGGCCTGGGAGGCAGTGGAATCTGCAGGTACCGAAGAGGGAGAAGCCCTCCCACGCAGCCAGGGGAAAGGAGGCTGGAGGGAGCGGCTTGCTCTGAAGGACTGTCCATGTAAATGGAACGATCTCCGCAGCTCTTTCAACAGCAGGAAACCCGGAAGCACCTGTCCCCTGCTGGGGACAAACGGCCAGCGGAAGCCAGGGGCTCTGAGGCGCTGCGCAGGTGCGCATCTGTGGCCTTTTGCACCGGAACGCGGAGCTCCGCAGATCAGGCTGCCCATCCCCAATCCCGTCTTGTTGCATCGCCGATTCCTACTCTTCCATTTCCTCCGGCCCCTTCCCTCTCAGCCTGTGCACATGCCGTGCCCCTCACTGGGCCACCTCCAGCTCCTGTCATCTCTAGGTGACACACGCTCCTGGGCAGGTTTAGTGCCCTCTGGATGGGCGCGGCACTCTGCCCCGCCCTCCCATTGCTTCTACCTCCCTGTGGTTTAAAGACCCGATTATGGATCTGGCTCTCACAGGGCCAGGGTTTGGCAAGGAGGGGGGCAATTCTTACTCATCCTAGGAGGCTCTTGAATGTTTGTGGAATGAATAAGTGAACAAATGAGCGAGGACGGTCAACGGGAAATAACAAGACCTAGTACCTGCCTATGGTAGCTTGCCAGGCTCCTTGGGCGGCGATGAGGAGAGGAAGTGGACAGAGAAGGTACACTAATAACCTTGGAACTCCTGGCCTGCTCTGCTCTTTATAGCCTTGCCTGTTGGAGTCGTTACCTTTACAGGAAATCTCCTCGTGACCTTCACCCCACCCAGCTGCAATAATGCTTCGCCTCCGCCTTCCCTCGCCCTTTCTGAATTAGTCTTAGTAAATGGAACAGTTCTTGTTTCAGTGTTTCATTTGTGTAGGTTTTGCCCTTTCATTTAAATTGTAAACACCTTAAAATCCTGGGTTTTATTTTCCTAGGAACTAGCAGTTTAGAGGAATGGAGAAAACATTGCTCCAAGGTAGTTTTTTTTTCCTGGCTCCCAACTAACTGTGAGGTCTCAGGGACAGGGTACTTACCTCCTCCCCAAAGCCTCTGTTTCCTCGTCTGTGAAGTTAGAGGGCTGGATGCATTTTATGGCACTTCCAGTGCCCACATCCTGTGATTTTGTGCTTCTGACCCCAGCACTTTGCTTATCCCTCGAAGTACTTAGACAGGGTTCCATCTCCACACCTGCTGGATAATTGAGCTTGTTCAGTCACAGTGTAGCCTAGTTCACCTCTCAGCTCTTTGTCAGAGCTTCTGGGATCAAGACATTAGCGGAATAGGTGTGGGACAGCCCTTGGCCTTGCCTCTGCACAGAAGTTCCAGGCACCAAGGACCCCACCTTGGTCCTGCAGTTCCGTACTTTGGTGTGTCTTGTTTCATCCCTTAAATGTTGGACGGATTGGAGGTGGAGGCTGATGGTGCTTCCACCCAAGGGTCTGGGAGGAAGGATGGTGCTAGGGATACATGTTCCCACACAAGCCAGCCATCGCTCTGTAAGACCCGCCTCACTGGCTCTCCCTGGGCAGAGTCTGGCTCCCGTCTCTGTTTTCTGAGTGCGTTTTCCTTCCATTGTACCCACTGCATTGCGTTGGTTTAAAAAAAAAAAAAAGTTAAATCCTTTATTGGGATCACAGCAAAGACAAAAGTGGTAAGGACTGTTGTGTGTGTGGGGTTGTTTGTTTGTTTGTTCTTTTGTTTTTGGCATCTGAGATTTGTGAGTTTCTTGAAGGCCAGGAGTGGCTTTTCTGTTTTGGGAGTTGGTTGTTGGTTCCCATTCGTGTTCCCAGCCCTTTTCCCCAACTCCAGCCTGGTTTCCCTTTCAGCTCTGTTTCTCTGTCCAGTCAGGTGTCTGTTCTTTCTCTTTGTTTCTTCTCCTGTCAGTCAGCCAGACCCCAAAGATTGTAAAACTGATGGTGAGTAAAGGACATTAAGTAAAAAGAACACAACAGAAAGGTAGTGGGTCTCTAAAGATCCCTCTGGCTGGGAAACAGATTTTAAGGATTGTGGGTTTGGCTTAGGAGCCCCTCTTACTGGAGATGGCAAGAACCCGAGGTGGGAGGGGAGAGGGAATATTAGGATGCCTAGTACATAAGTGGTATTCCTGAATCCTTGGTGGGGATTAATTGGACGATAGAGGAGGAGCTTGTGGAGATGACCAAAATGCCAGGAAGTAAGAATTGATGCAGAAAGAGGCTGCAAAAGAGTAATTCAGTTGAGTTGTATCTTGGGCAAAGGTTTGGTTCCAAATCTGTGTTGTTAAAAGGTAAACTGAGGCATATTAAAAACTCGACGAGTTTGAGCAGAAATCAGTGCGAACCTGGCAGCGTCAAGTGGAAGTGGTTAGCGGTGCTCCACCGACAGGAGCAGGGAAAGACACAGAGAAAGTAAGGAAGCAAAGCAAGGAAATGGTTTGATGGGATGGACACAGTTTGTGATTGGTTGCCCTTAGGGTTTGGTTTTGCAACAGTGAGGCGTTTACAGGCTGAGATTTTGGTTCGCTCCCGTAGGCTGCCGCAGCGTTAGAGCCACCTCAGTCTGATGGCCTCCCGGTTTAATTAATAACAGTGTAAAAACTGGAAATCTGGGGGACATTCAAAATTACCTTTGAAAACCACCCCCAGGAAGGCACAGTGTTGGAAATTGACGTATCGTCGCTTGTTGAGTTTAATGTGACCATTTTTATTCTCCAGTGTGGGAGTGTTAGTTGTGTCTGGGTTCCTTATAATGTCCTTGGCTTAGGTGCAGGGGGCAAGCTCTATGCAAAGCGTGGCTTCTGAAACACCAGAATCGTGCTCCGCAGAGAGCTGCTGATTCGATGAGAGACGCGCGTATCCTTCACCTTGTTTCAACAACCCTTCTTCTTGTGCTTGACTTGCATCGTTTTGTGTGTGTGTGTGTGCGCGTGTGTGTGTGTGTCACAGGGCTCTGCTTTTGTTCTCCCTCACCACCTAAACTGGCAGAGAATTAGGGGACTCCTTGATAAAGAATAACCCCAATATCTCGTGGTTCTGACTGATTGAAACGTTACATGCGTATTCAACTCAAATCTGCAAATTCTCTGCTTCGTCAACAGGTTGCTCGTGGGGGCCCCACGGGCAGTGGCCCTTCCGCTGCAGAAGGCCAACAGAACAGGAGGCTTGTACAGCTGCGACATCACCTCCCGGGGGCCGTGCCCACGGGTTGAATTTGATAACGACGGTGAGTTCTTCTGCACTCGCTCAGGGTTCCCTTGACCAACTTGCCTTGTATCCCACTTGCCCTTTCCAGGAGGAAGGAAGGGGGGGGGACAAGCATTTATTCTTGGAGAGAGGGCCTCTGTTGATTGCATCAGCCTCGTCTGTTTCTTGCTTGCCCTGAGCACATTTACGTTTTAAGTCACCGGGGCTGCAGCGTAGTTCCTGCCCGCCCCCCGACCCAACTCTGCTTTCTAAACTGATATGGTGTATCGATGTCGCCACCTAGTGATGTGTTGAGCTTCTATGGGAGAGAAACTGTATTCACAGCCGCGAAGAAAATTGAATGTATTTCAATTGAATGTGTATCAGCGGCCAAAAGTTCTCATTTGCTGTTAAAAATATTTGGGAGAAAGACTCTTTAAACATCAGATCTCTCTAAAATGAAAGCTGGCCAACATGGATAAATTTTGCCCTACTATCTCAGTTAGAGGCTTGTTTTGCACAGACTCTGTGTGGTAGGCAGAGCAATTAGGGTCCTGAGAAGCTGCAACCAAACCTAGTTTGACATTCTTGGTCTAAGCAGATTTGAAGATTCATGTTTATGTTCTTCTCTTGCTTTTTCATCTTTTTAGCAACAGTATTTGTTTTTGGGTTTTTTTTTTACTGATTAGAAAATAATACATGTTAATTGTGGGAAACTTGTAAATGACTTTGAACTGTAAGGGAAAAACCCAGACCCACTGATAATGTAGGCATAATTGCTCTTTACTTAACATTTTGGCATTTTTTCCTTCTGTCTACCTAAAGTTGTTAGGTTTCATAGTTTTTTTTTTTTTCTTTTTTCGGTATGTGGGCCTCTCACTGTTGTGGCCTCTCCCACGGCAGAGCACAGGCTCCGGACACGCAGGCCCAGAGGCCATGGCTCATGGGCCCAGCCGCTCCGGGGCATGTGGGATCCTCCCGGACCAGGGCACAAACCCGCGTCCCCTGAATCGGCAGGCGGACTCCCAACCGCTGCGCCACCAGGGAAGCCCCAGGTTTCATAGTTTTGTAACGATTCAAGATTGGAAATCATGCCTGCCTTCTCATTGGGGAAGGCAAAAATTTGGATGTAGGGTCAAACAGTAGGCTCAGATTGATACTGAAATGAGCACATGGTGAGATTTATGGTTTCCCTCTCTCCCTCCTTTTTGGAGGAAGGAGGTAAAAATAAATATATCACTTTCCTTTTCTGCATTGATAGGAAGATATAAAGTGAGTCTGAGGCCTTGTCTTCCCATCTGCAGTAAAGAAGAGTTCATGCTATTATGTAACAAATTTGGGAGTATGTAGAGAAGTACCCACTTTTTTGTTAGTTTGGATGGTAGTTTCTGTACTCGGGACCCTGGATGTCAGAGAAAGTGAAGGGCTACCAGGTAAAGGTATGTATTTTATATAAAGAATTTGATGAATCATTCATAGCAATAATCACTCACCTGTTTTCTTAAGATGAGAAGTAATTTTTCTGGATTGAGTAACTAAACTTACTAAGTGTTTAGACTTGGAGTCAAGGCAATTGAGAAGCTGTTCCTTACATTTTTGTTCATTTATTGGTTCATTTCCTGTTGCAATTGCTTTGAAGTCCTAACTGTGTGTGTGTAAGCTGTGCTGCTTTCTCCACAGCTGACCCTTCATCGGAAAGCAAGGAAGATCAGTGGATGGGGGTCACCGTCCAGAGCCAAGGTCCAGGGGGCAAAGTTGTGGTAAGTGTAGAGAAGTGTGTCCATTCCACAATGTCTGAGTGCCTGTTGTGTGCCACTGCTGGGCTTACAGTATTGAACAAAACAGGTAGAGCTTCTGCCTGCATAGAGTATACATTCTAGAAAACTGACTGCTTTAAAGCAGGAATTGATGTCAAGAAGAAATGAAAGCATTATTTTTCCTGTGATTTCTGATCTATTTTGAAACAGCTCTACAATCTGCTTTTCTTTAGAACTTTCAGATTCAAAGAACTTATTTAAAAACCTTTACCAATGTCCCTAAAACTCTCGGTGGTCTTAAAAGAAGAAGCAAAGCAAAACTAGACATGCTTCACTTTGTTATACAGCAGAAACTAACACAACACTGCAAAGCAATTATACTCCAAGAAAGATGTTAAAAACAAACAAACAAAACTAGTCATGCTTTTTGTCTCAGGAACTATGTAGCTATTATAGCTGAGTTATAAAAAAAATATATGGGAATGGTCATGGAAAGTAAGGATCAGATAATTTAAAACTTTTATTATATATTCTGAGCTGCTTCAAATAGAAGTGGTAACGAAGAAAAAAGGGTTTGTTAGATGGATTGTGCGAGGTGGCCTTGGAGGTGCCAGGCTGGATTATGATGATGTTTCTGTCTCTTTCAAAATCTGGTTGCTGTAACAAATTTATGTAGAATTTTGCGAAAAGTGAGAATTTTACCAAACACTGAATTTTTATATCTAAGGGGATGCATTATGGGAAATTGACTTGGACATTGTAAAGTGTTTTCAGCCTGTTATATGGAGGGTGGCCATGAATACCCTGTAAAATTAGAGATTATTTCATCTCTCCCAGCAGTGTAATTGTCTCTGCCTTTTAAAATAAACTTAATCTCAGAGTTTAGAGGATAAGTTAGTTAGTATTGATTATAAGGAAATAGTATAGGTAAAAGGAAAATGTCTTTGTTTTAGCAGTGTTAGCCTGATCCCTGTGAAAATATGTCCTTGATTTCTCTCCTCTGGAATATGAGTACTTATTTTCACAAACATACTGATGTGAAGGTTTATATAGCCACTAAAACCCAATTAAACTGAGAAGATGAAATAGGGTGTTTCCCACGGTTTATGTGACAAGTAAATTTATAAATAAATTTGCCTGTGGATTACAGATTGGCATTCAGGATTGGGATTGGAGCATTATTCTCAGGCTGAGGGCAAGACAGAAGCCCTGTGCTAGATAATGGTCTCCTTGCAACTGTGGGGAGGAAGATTTGCTGGTTTTCAGATCCAATCTCAGGAGGAGGCCACATTTAACATCTCACTTAGAATTAACCTCTTGATTATTGACAACTTCATCAATTTGTAATGAAAAACGTAAGGTTTGCCAATGTGTATGGGCTACTTTATTCCATCTGTTTGCAGACATGTGCTCATCGATATGAAAAAAGGCAGCATGTTAATACAAAACAGGAATCCCGAGACATTTTTGGAAGGTGTTACGTCCTAAGTCAGAATCTCAGGATTGAAGATGATATGGATGGAGGAGACTGGAGTTTTTGTGATGGCCGATTAAGAGGTCATGAAAAATTTGGTTCTTGCCAACAAGGTGTAGCAGCTACTTTTACTAAAGACTTTCATTACATTGCGTTTGGAGCCCCAGGCACTTACAACTGGAAAGGTATGACATGTGTATTTATAGAAAGAGATTAGAATTGTTACATAATTGCTATTATATGCACCATGATTTAGTACATTTTAAATGAAAACAAAATGTGTTATAAGGTACTTTTATGTTGTAGAAGTAGGGTAGGATAGCAAAATATCTAAATTCTGATTTTTAAGAACAAATAATGTTCAAAATGTATGTTTCAAGAGATTTTTTTCCCTCTGCCAGCAGTTTACATTAATATAAGTAATTAACTTTCTTCTGTAAGAATATAATTAACATTAGTTTTTGCTGTTTTGTATTTGCCTGTTTCATGAAGCTGAAAGTTTTAATTTTAAGGTAGGGATCTGAAAACTGAAAATAATTGAGTGGTGTCATGTACAAATAACATTGTATTAATACAGCCTTTTTTTTTGCGGTATGTGGGCCTCTCACTGTTGTGGCCCCTCCCGCCGCGGAGCACAGGCTCCGGACGTGCAGGCTCAACGGCCACGGCTCACGGGCCCAGCCGCTCCGAGGCATGTGGGATCTTCCCCGACCGGGGCACCTGCATCTGCAGGTGGACTGCCAACCACTGCGCCACCAGGGAAGCCCTAGACATTTTTTCATTATGTATTATCTTAAAAGGCTGTGTTTTGCTAATAACGCAGTATAGTTAGAAGCATAGATGTCAAATTAGGGAATTTTGAGATGATTTTGGATAACTTCTGGAAAGATTGTTTAATGGTATTGTTTAAATAATTTCGTGATATAGGTAAAAGGAGACACCGGGAGGGAGGGAGGGGGAAGAATGGCCTGCATTTTTTGCCTGGATGAACATGGTCAGTGCTCCTGTAGTAAAAGTTCAACTTCTCTGAAGAAATTCAGCAGGTGTAGAAAAACCACTGTGTTATAAAGGACAATTAACCTTACTGTAATCCATAGTGAAGAGAAATGCATCTGATTTGGAAATAAGACTTTTTTTTGAGAAATTTCTCAAAATAAATCCTGTGTTATGACATTCTCACTAGTCAGGAAAAACTTGGGAAATTTTTCCCTTTTTCCATTCAGAAATTTCCTATTAGAAATGAGCCTTGAGAACACCTTGCTCGATAGCAACCTTTGGGAGGAATTTCCTTTGGCCTCCCCGGCCCCAACCAAAACTTCCACGTAACAGCATTTGGCAGGTTATCTTGACCTAATCGAAATAACACATGAATTTAGAAATTGTTTTATTTTAGCAAGAATAGAGGCCATACATAGTAAAACAAAACAATAAAAACACCCATCAATTATGTATGGTTTAATTTATGGGAAACATGTTTTATCTGCTTTATAAATTCTGACTTAAAATGTTACCATTTATAGTGGACGATGTGAGATCTCTTTTCAATTATTAGCTGTGAAAATTTTTTAAAGCTTTTAAATCTTTGCTTAAAGTGATTGGAAGAAAAGATCAAACTACTAATCTTACTTTCACAGTATAGTAAAAAGATAAATCGATTTAGGATTATAGAAAATGTAAAATGTATCAGGTTCATATAATTGAAAAGTTTTTTGTAGGTTTAGTTAACTAAGTAAACAGTCCATTTTCCATCTAGTGTCATGGCATTATAAAGATAATTCATGAAAATGCATGGGCATTTTTTTAATTACTAGAACAAATTTGTTTGATGTAAAAATCTACACGAACATGATTTTTTAACTTTAATAACCTCAAAAGTCATCTTTCTTCTCCTTTTCTTCCTCCAGACTTTTCTTTCTGTGCTTAATGATAACATGAGGAATGTTTATTAGGAAGCATCTATTTTATTTTGTTTCATCTTCATTTTTTTTTTTAACCATTTCATTCTTTTAGGGATTGTTCGCGTAGAGCAAAAGAATAACACTTTTTTTGACATGAACATCTTTGAAGATGGGCCTTATGAAGTTGGTGGAGAGACTGACCGTGATGAAAGTCTAGTTCCTGTTCCTGCTAACAGTTATTTAGGTAGGAACGAGAGTAGACGGCATGCCTGCCTCTTCAGATGCCTCTGTGTGACACCGCTGTCACAGGACCCTGGACTGCTAGGCTGAGAAGAGGCCAGGTTGGAGCCAGGGGACTGTGGTTGCATTTACTGGAATTTAAGCCTTGGTGATTCCAAGGCAACCTGACTGATGCTTGGGATCCTTCCCGTCTCACCTGAGCTTGCTCAAAGCAGGAGGAAACCTACTACTCTCTCCTAAAATCTTCTGTCCTCCTGTGTGGAGGTCTGTTTCCTGAGCTAGTGTTGGCCTCTGTAACCTGAGGCAGGCTGTTCATGCATGGATGTTAGCAGGAGGCTGAAATGCCTTCCCTCTCCCTTCAGTGCCTCTTTTTGGAGAGAGACTCTTTAAGAGCTGCATTTATGAAGTTACTCTTAAGTGGCAGGTCAAGACCTCCAGGTCCGTCCTCTGTGATTGCTGTTCTCCACGGGTTGGCCTTGCTCCTGGATTGGGGCCCTCTTGTCACAAAGCCCCTGGAGGGTGGCACGGGGGCTTTACAGCTGAGCCTAAGAAGGACTGCTAAGGCAGCTCTTGAGGACACCCGGATTGTGTCTAAGTGCCAATTCCTTAACTCCTAAGGCTTGTTTGCATTACTAATGGGTGTCCTAAATTATTCATGTGCATTATGGTAATTACACAAAGGCTTTTAAAAGCTGTAATTCTTGGTGTGAGTTGACATAAAGAATAATTACTGTGCAATTCTTGGAAAAAATGTAAAAAATCTCCTAAACCTAAATAGTAACCTATTCTTTTTCAAAAACAGAGATGTACCCATATGCTAGAGATATTACTAGAACAATGGAAGGTTAAAAAAAGAGAAAAAATAGGTGTAGATCTAAAAATAATTCTAAACAAGGTATTAGTAAATGTATTCTTCAAAAAATTTTGTAATTATATAGATATGTATGAACAATACTGTTAATTAAGAAAAAAAAAATCTTCAGAAACGTCCCCACCCCCAAATTAAAAACTTGGTGTGAAGGCACAGAAGGGAGAAAAGTTATACTTATCACTTGTTAAGCACCTGCCATGTGCTATAAATCACACACTATACTTACTACTTTATAGGTCTTATTTGATATTCCCAACAATATAAAATAAGTATTATTGTCCCTCTGTTGCTGACGGGGAAAAAAAAACTTGTGCCTTAGGGACATTACTTTCCTAGTCCAAGGTCACACAATTAATAATCCCTTAGCCAAGGGAAGAAATTCTTATGAAAATGACTGGGGCAGGGTGGGAAGCAGCTGGGAGTGTGAATGTTGTTAGTGGCTTTGCAGGACAGGAAGGGAACACAAGGCCGAGTGGTTTGCAGTCTCAATTATTAAATAGGCTTTTTCAGGGTAAAATCCTTTCCAAGGTAAATATTATCAACAAACCAATATATATATATATATATATATATTTTGCGGTATGCGAGCCTCTCACTATTGTGGCCTCTCCTGTTGCGGAGCAACAGGCTCTGGATGCGCAGGCTCAGCGGCCATGGCTCACGGGCACAGCCACTCCGTGGCATGTGGGATCTTCCCAGACCGGGGCACGAACCCGTGTCCCCTGCATCAGCAGGCGGACTCTCAACCCCTGCGCCACCAGGGAAGCCCAACAAACCAATATTTTATTGGAATAAATTTTAACAGACAACCTCTCTTCAAATGGGTTATTTAGGAATTAGTTTATGGTATTTCAAGTTAATGGCTTTGGTCAAGAAACCAACACTTTGGTCTGTAGATAGATGCCCATGGATTTTATAAACTTAGTTTCTGTTGGAACATTTGAAAATATTAAACATTTTTTATTGAACGCATTTGCCACTTTTGGAATGGATTTCCTCAAAAGTGGTTGCCTGGGGGGGAAAAGTGTCAAGTTTGTACTGTTAGATTTTGGTTTTCCATGCTGTCTGTGCATCTGTCATTTCAAAAAAATCAGTAGGTTTTAGGAATAAAATGATCTGCATGAGGTTTGGAAGCTGGCAAAGAGGGTGGCTTGCCAGATGCAGTGGTGGCCTCATCATCCAGCGAGCACGGCAGTAGCTGGCGTGCCTCTTACCGAGTATAATTGCTTTTTCTTCAATCTCTTCCATCCCGTGCATGTGTACAGGCCTGCTGTTTTTGACCAGCATTTCCTATACAGATCCCGATCAGTTTGTTTATAAAACACAGCCTCCCAGGGAGCAGCCCGACACATCCCCTGATGTGATGATGAATAGCTACCTAGGTTTGTGACCTCTGAGATGACAAATAAATTGTCTTGGTCATGGTCATTTAAGAATTTTTTTTTTTTTATCCATACAGAGCATAAATCTTTTTATTTTCTATTTCATTTCAAGTGAAGCACACATAAAAAGCATGCCGTGGTTGAGGCGCTGCAGGCAGATGGCTTCCAGAGCTGGATTCAATTGTATCGCCCTCTTCTAAACTTGTAGCTCATCCTATTTTTTGACTCACTTCACGTTTTGAGAACTGCAACAGTAGTGGTGAAGCTTTTTGTAAATAAAACCCAATAAAAAGGGTGAGCTTATAGTATTCTGCATCTGCCTCGCCTTTACATAGGAAGATTGGCTTAATTTGAATGATTTTGATATGGGCGTTTGTGTTTGCTTGCCCTTTAACCTCAATATTGGTAATCTGACATCCTACCTGATGCTTTACCTGATGATGTTCTACCGTTTTTCTGCCCTCTGAACAAGTATGTAATTGGTACAGATGACAACTTGCTCACCTCTATTGTTTATACCAGGTTCTCAAACACTCTAGCTCATCAGTCATGGTTTTGTTTGCATGTTTGTGTCTGAGAACTGAGTTGACCCCAAATAGTGAAACGCTGTCTGTGGTATATTAATGTTGTTAGCATTCTTATTCTTGCCTGACGACCAAGGATATTGAATACAGAAGTTACTAACTACTACATTATAGCAAAACCCTATAACATGCACTCAATTACACTATGTCAGGTTGTATCCCAGTATATAGTATGTAACTTTCCCATGATAATTTAGTATCTAGCTTGATCTCCTTTTGCAGCAGTTTCAGTATTAAAATGGGGTTCAAACTGATTCTTAAGATGCATGAATGCTTCATGATTCAAGTTACACAGATGCCAAATAGCATAGGTGCTTTTCTTTAAAAGTCTTAATACATTCCCATAGAAAGCAATGCAGTAGCCTACTTACTTTGTACTTGTGTCACATTCCTTGGCTCTGTGACTCTTATCGTAGATGTGATAGCTGGTGGGGAGGGTCAGAGGAGAGTGGTGGGAGTAACCAGTGTTAATATACCTCCTGAAAAACAGAGTTGATATGTACTGTTTTGTTTTTCTAGGGTTTTCTTTGGACTCAGGGAAGGGTATTGTTTCCAAAGATGAGATCACTTTTGTATCTGGTGCTCCTAGAGCCAATCACAGTGGAGCTGTGGTTTTGCTTAAAAGAGACCTGAAGTCTGCACACCTTCTCCCTGAGCACATATTTGATGGGGAAGGGCTGGCTTCTTCATTTGGCTATGATGTGGCAGTGGTGGACCTTAACAAAGATGGGTAAGAACCTCTTAGGTTATTTTATATTTGCAAAGAATTCATTGCTGCTCTGGCTTCTGTAGGTCTTGAGAAGAAATATCCTTTCAGGTTAGTTGATGGAAAAAATATTTCTGCTGCCAGGTTTTTACCATTCCATCACTCTTCCTCACTTATATTTTGGCAGTAGGCATCCATTACCCTCCCCAGCGGGTAGGATTACATTTTCAGTTTTCAGTTTTACTATGTGCTGGGATCATGGGTCCGTGAGAATTAAACTTTAACTCAAAAAACAAAACAAAAAAAAGACACCTACAAGGTTCTATTTTGTGGTTTCTTGAGGGGCTGTTGGAGCATCCAGAATGTCCTGTTGAAAGTAGGGATTGGTGACAAAGTCGATACAAAGGTCTCTGTGGCTGGTGGTGCCAGTTTGGGTCTCGTAGAGAGATGAAGGTGGAGGGGAGTGGAATCTTTACTGGGAGTCTGCGCACTATAGATGTAACTTGGGAACTGGCTTCAAGTTCTTACCCTTGATATTTTTCTTTGGGTGTTTATTAGAGGCTACCTTGGTTTTTAAAAAATACTTTAATTGATGATATATAAATTCCAGATTTGAGGTCCTTTTATCATATCTCTTTGTGTCCTTAATACCTGGGCATGTGGGATTCTCCCTAAGCTCGCTGGTATTTTAGCCAATGGTTCACAGTTCTTCCCCTCATTATGTTTTCAGGTGGCAAGATATAGTTATTGGAGCCCCACAGTATTTTGATAGAAGTGGAGAAGTTGGAGGTGCAGCGTATGTCTACATTAACCAGCAAGGCAGATGGAATAATGTCAAGCCAATTCGTCTTAATGGAACCAAAGATTCTATGTTTGGCATTGCAGTCAAAAATATTGGTGATATTAATCAAGATGGCTACCCAGGTAGACAATAGATTGTGAATTGGTCATGATTTATAGATTATTTGGTTGTCTAAAATAGTGAGCGCTCATGGCATCTTATTTTAAAACTTTGTATTGGAATGCTTTTAAAATTTAATGTTTGTTAAAATGTGGCGTTGTCAACAGATATTGCAGTTGGAGCACCCTACGACGGTAAGGGGAAGGTTTTTATCTATCACGGATCTGCGAACGGAATAAATACCAAACCAACACAGGTAACCAGATAACCTGGATTTCTACAACAAAGGTCTCAACAGTTTGCTTTCTAATGGAATGTTTAGGTTTATGTGAATTTTCACACTAATCGTGTTTTATTTGCAAGTCTACAATAGTATGAATTTTGTTTTTATAATAAATGTATTATTAGAAGATAGCTTGTAAATAGATATAAATGCAATGACCTGGTTGTTTTAAATTGTAAAATTTCTTTGGTGAATTAGGAATCAAAGTAAGCCAAAGGAAGACTATTCTACCCTGACAGCATAAATAGATGGAAATGTGATATGTTCCTTTTAGTCGCATACTAAATAGAGATGAAACTGGACGAACATAAGAGATGATTGTAATTGCATAGAATTCAGATACCAAAAACTAAAAATTGCTTTCAAGAAAAACAAGGCATTTGGAGGGCAGGTAGAGAGGTTTGGTTTGAAATACACTGATCGACTTAATATAGTAGACAAGCTCATCAAAAATTGTCTCTTTTGTCTTTTGAGGTACAACGTAAATCAGATAACTTTTATGAAATAAAATGTATGAAGTGTTGGATCATATGTATACTTAATTTATGATTTAGTTTGGATTTAATGTAATTTATAAGTAACCTCTTAATCTTCAGTTCAAAAGAGACTTATGTGCCTTTTTCAAAGCATGGATAAGAGGCTCATTTTGGTGGCCCAGTGTCCATTCTGATGCCCTGTTCCTTTCAGATTCTCGAGGGTAAATCACCTTTTTTTGGATATTCAATTGCCGGAAACATGGACCTTGATAGAAATTCCTACCCCGATGTTGCTGTTGGTTCCCTCTCAGATTCAGTAACTATTTTCAGGTGTGTAATCTCTGACTTAAAGCATGTTTGGTAATCCGCTTACACTAGAATTTTTTTACCTTTTGAATTGAAATTTGTTAACAACTATACTTCAAAGGCAAAGGCTTGTATGAATTTTGAATATTCTTTTTCTCTTCAGAGTAGTGTAATGATGTAATAAAAACCTATTTTGTAAAGTCCTGCTGTAATTTTGAACTAATTTTTTTAAAAAGGTCAGAATTGGTGGAAAACTTTTACTTTTGCCTATATTTCAAAAACCTTTATTTTCATAAAAACTGAAACAGAAAATTTGACAGTATAAAGAATATAAAGAAGGAAATAAATGTCCTATATTTCTCCGTCCATTATGAAACTCCAAAATTTTGGTTTATATCCTTCTAGTTTTTAATTTTCTGTGAATATACACATACGTTTAACAAAATTGAGATCATAATGTACATATTGTTTTGTAACCTGCTTTTGTTGGTTTGTAATGTATAGTGGCCTTTTTCCATGAGTGAGTTTATAATGCATATTGGGCTATCTCCCTGTCATTGAGTACTTTTCTGAAATTAAGTTAATGGTTGTCTGAGATATCCCGTGGCCGGATCATAGTTTACTTAACCACTGCCGTACTGTCATTGGACACATTTATGTTGCTTTCCAGGTTTGGTTGTTTGCTCCTATTATGATACACAAAGCTGTGGTAAGCATCCTTAATTTTTTGTGTGTCCTGGATTATTTCCTTATGATAAATTCCTAAAAGTGAGTTGCTAAGTTGAAGGGCCATGTGTGTTTTAGGACTTGTGATTCAGGTTCACAAGTGAAATGACCTCCAGAAGGGCTGCAACAGTGTGCCCATCAGCTGTGTCTGAGTCCCCTTATCCCAGTAATTCCATTACTGCTGGAAATCACCAGGAAAAATTGTTAAAGAAATTTTTTTTATTATTTAAAAAGTAGCACATTCTTTAAAAAAAAAAAAAAGGTTAATACAGAATTTCAGTTAAGTGCAAGTTCCCCAATATTCTCTTCTTCCACGAAACAGCTTTTAATAGTTTTGAGTCTCTCTCCAGTTCTAGGGTATCATCAAAAGGCCATACTATAACTGCTGTTCTCTATTCTGGTTTTTAAAAATTAATCTCTTCAGTTATCTCTCCTTGTTAATGCAGATACATCAATCTTACTCTTTCTGACAGCTTAATATTATTCCATAATATGCATTTAATGAATCCTCAGTTGATGGAATTTTTAGACAGTCTCTGACTTTTAGCTCTTATAAACAGTGTGCTATATAGTATATTGTATGTATCTCTGTGTAATGGATTTTTTAAAAGAAAAATTCCTAGAAATAGAATTGCTGGGATAAGGTTAACACATTTTTGTATTAATACATATACCCACAGAAAGGTGGTAACAATTTATGCTCACAGTAACAACCTACTAGAGGGTCCATTTTCTCACACCCTAACCAACATTGAACAGGATGAATCTATTTAATTTTTGCCAGTGTGATATGTGATCTCATCTTTTGATTGAATTTGCATTTCTTTGCTCATTGGTGAGAGTGAACCATTTGCGTTTGTTTTTTTAAACTATTTGGCTTTATAGTCACTTTTATCTAAAGAATGTCTTTAAAGAAATGGGCAGTGATGTACAATGAAACCCGAAAGGAAAAAAATCTGTGCCATAGGTACACTTGGTGCCATCATTGCCCTTTCTTCTTCCAGAAGGGTGCAAGTGTAGATGTGGCCTCTATGTCTAAATAGAATCCTAAGCAAGACCCCTGGGGGTAAGAAAACGACACCAGGACACTTCTGAAGAGAACGCTATTTAAAAAAACTAGAATATACTGTACGTTTATATAATGTAGTATAGAATACTATAGAAAAATAGTTTTCTAGTTAAATGGCAAGATCTATGAAAGCCATTTTATATGAAAACTAAGAACCACAAGAGCCATTACAGATGACAAAAGTAGGAGATGTGAAAATAAGTGGAGAAAAATGTATCTGGGATATTAGGCCAAAGGAAGAAGTAAAAAAAAAAAAAAAAAAAAAATTTAGTTAACTGAATGAATGTGTGTTACTACCTTTATATGCCTGTTTCTCTCTGTACATATAAGTGTTAGGTGTTAACCTTAAAATAGTCAACATTTTTAAAAGGTGGAAGAGTATAGCATAACATTCAAGTATTTTAGCAAGTTTCCATCAAAAAGCAATTTGAACTTCTAGTTCTAGTTTGAGGTATAGACCTCAGGTGGCAAGAAGACTTGAATTCCTGTAACAAAATTTGGTTACAACGTCTTTCCTAGCAGATAACCTGACTTTAGCCAATTAAATATTTGCCTCTGTATGTAATTGATATTTTAATATCCTTACTTTCCTGTCCTCATAAGTAGGTTGACTATGAACCCTGTAAATGTGTTCCTTCATTCCTCATAGATAGTATGAAAATAAATTTCAAAAGCCTTTGATAATAAAAAATAAGATAACTCCCTTATTTTACAAACAAGGAAAATGGAGGCCCAGGACTTGCTTCAACTTTTAAGGCTGGATCCTGTGAGAACAGGGCGTGGTACCTAAGTCTTCCCAACTTCAGTCCCTGGGCATTTCTCCCACTAAATTATGCTCGTACTTCAGCGTACTTAATAAATAAATGCTAATTAAACATGAGACAGCTGAGCCATAAGATTTACTTTATGTGTTAAAACATTTTTTATGATTCATATATAATGTACACTCAAAATTGTGTGTGTATGTTGTGTGTTTAAAAACAAATAAAAATAGGATTTAGGCAGAAGTATGTGTTAAAATATTTCTTTTTGAAATTTATGCCGCACTAAAGCCTTAATACTACTGTATATAAAACACTCTAGCATCTGTAGCAACTGGTTTTAAAATATTTGTGAATTTTTGCCTTTTAAATATGCTCTCAAGGGCTTCCCTGGTGGTGCAGTGGTTGAGAGTCCGCCTGCCGATGCAGGGGATACGGGTTCGTGCCCCGGTCTGGGGAGATTCCCACATGCCGTGGAGCGGCTGGGCCCATGAGCCACGGCCGCTGAGCCTGCGCATCCGGAGCCTGTGCTCCGCAACTGGAGAGGCCACAGCAGTGAGAGGCCCGCGTACCGCAAAGAAAAAAATGCTCTCAAAACTTTAAGAACATATCTACAGGCGAACTTCGTTTTATCGTACTTTGCTTTATTACGCTTCACAGATACTGTGTTCTTGGTTGTTGTTTTTTTTAACAAATTGAAGGTTTGTGGTGAGGTGCCATTTTTCTAATATCATTTGTTCACTTCATGTCTCTGTGTTACATTTTGGTAGTTCTTGCAACATTTTAAACTTTTTCATTATTATTATTATTTTCATTATGGTTGATCTTTGATATTATTGCTATGACTTCCTGAAGACCCAGATGCTGGTTAGTATTTTTTTTTTTTTTTTAGCAATAAAGGTTTTTTTTGTTCTTTTTTTTTCTCTTCTTTCTTTTTCTACAAACCTTTGTGTCGAGGGCTGACTTTGAAGAGATCGCAGTGAGGGAGCTGCTCTGCTAATAAAGTATTTTTTAATTAAGGCATGTACATTGTTTTTTTAAGACATCATGCCATTGCAACTTAATAGACTACAGTATAGTGTAAACATAACTTTTATATGCACTAGGACTCCTTTATTGCAATCCTTTTGCTTTGTTGCCGTGGTCTGGAACCAAACCTGTAGTATCTCCGAAGTATGCTTGTAGTTAGGATCTTAGAAATTAGTAGCTGTCTGAATGTAAAATAACAATAGGAAGGTAGACAGTTAAGATAAAGGGAAATGAAGAAACAAAATGTAGGCAGCATTTGCCCTTTAATTGGCTCCTGGCTTCCCCAGGAAGGTACTCAAAACCTCTCTGGCCTACTGATAGATGGATTCCAGAAGTTCTAAGTAGCTGTTTGGAATTTGGATACATTTTCTTGTCGAAACACTATTCTCCAGAATGGCTGGGTTTACCACAAACCCACTAAAGTCAGGGTGACTGAATCCCTGTGGTAGTGGAGCAGTAGAACCTGCTCTGAGTCCGCGCTGGAGAGCGAAGGAGCAGAGAGGTGCGCTGTCTCCCCAGCCACCACACACTTCGTACTTCCCTGCCTCTGGGGCCGGGGTTAAGCCATAGGCCCTTGGTGACCCCTTGGCTGTGGGAAGTAGGGAAGAATATGTAAGGGAGAAAGATGATGTTTTTACATGGGGAGAAGGGCTGAAGTTGTGGGACTCAGCTTCTTGTGTGCTTGTGAGGTTAGGTTAGGCAGAGCAGAGAGGGGAAAGGATAAAGGATTCAAGGTTTTGCTTATAGAGATATTGTGCGGGTAGAAAAGTTGTAGTCAGTACTGGCAGCAGGTGGACAAAGGCTTAAGGTTGCGGGTGGGAGATTCCGAGGGAGGATAGAAAGGGCACACACGTTTGTAAGACGGGGACCCGTAAGTTCAGGATTTGCCTGGATTACTAAAATTCACATGTGTGTAGAAATCCTGGCAGCGAGCACCCCAGGTGTTAGGTGTATGTTGGTGTAATCTTTTTTTGGCACGATTACTCAAAATTAAAAATGCATGTGTTCTTTGACTCAGAAATTCTGCCTAGGAGTTTATCCTATAGATAAATAGATGTATGTATTTAGGACGCATACATGTGCATGGATGTATATGCAAGGATGTTTGTCAGAGCAGAAAGCCTTAAAAAAATTATCAATGTTTACTGCTTAAGGACTGGTTAAATAAATGATGTTATGTTGACACATGTAACACCACCAGCTGTGAAGAACAACTAGGTTTGTGTGTATAGATATGAGAAGCCCTCTGAAATGTTAGTGCATGAGAAAAAATAACATGCAGAGCGATAAGCATGAAAAGCTCCCACTTAAAAAATAGATGCATGTTATTATATTTAATTTTAGATAATATTTTTAACTGAAACAGACTGATAACGTCTGGAAGGACATGCAAGTCTCCTTAGGGGTTTAGGTGGGGACGAGACATATTTGCCTAAAAACTCTGGAACTTTTACATGTTGCCCATATTATTCTTTCAGTTTAAAAAACTCTAATGTTAAAATCATTAAAACAATCTATAATTTTAAATAAATCCTATTTAAATATTTTTATAAATATCGTGTAAACAGGTTTTAAATGATCTCTGTTAACAGTTGTTTTCTTTAGCAGTGTGGGAGCAGAAATCACATTGGGGAACATTCTTTTTCCTGTGGTTTTTTTTTTTTTTTTTTTTCTTGCGTTATGCGGGCCTCTCACTGTCGTGGCCTCTCCCGTTGCGGAGCACAGGCTCCGGACACGCAGGCTCAGCGGCCATGGCTCACGGGCCCAGCCGCTCCGCGGCACGCGGGATCCTCCCGAAACGGGGCACGAACCCGCGTCTCCTGCATCGGCAGGCGGACTCTCAAGCACTGCGCCACCAGGGAAGCCCCTCTTTCCTGTGGTTTTTAAGATGCCACATCTGAGGATGCCTATCTAGTATGTGAGTTCATCTTACCTCCAAGTAGCAAAAGGCTGAGCTTGTTTTTTCACTCCTTTGTCTTCAGATCCCGGCCTGTGATTAATATTCAGCAAACCATCACAGTTACACCTAACAGAATTGATCTCCATCAGAAAATGCCCTGCGGGGCGCCTAGCGGGATATGGTGAGCGTTTGTGCTGTGTCCGCTCTT